AATACAAATAATACAAATAATAAAATAATAATAATAATAATAATAATAATAATAATAATAATAATAATAATAATAAAATAATAAATAATAATATAATAATAATAATAATAATAATAATAATAATAATAATAATAATATAATAATAATAATAATAATAATAATACATAAATAAATAGATAAATAAATTGATAATTAATACATAGATAAAATACATAAATAGATAATAGATAAAATAAATAATTAGATAAAATAAAAAAATAAAAAAAAAAAATAAAATAAATAGATAAATAAGAAAAACTGTTTGCAACTGTTCAAGCTTGTTCCTCACTTTTCTAATTATTCACCACAATGAGTTTATGAGCAATTTTTACAACTTTATACCACAGGAGAGTTTTGTCCTCAAGCCACACCCCTTACAACAACTAGCATGCTAACAGCACACACCATTTTTGACATTTTGACCCTAAGAGCTACTTGTATTACTCATTTTACTGAACTACATGGACCAAAATAGAGTCACTCTGATACAGTCCAGTTTACTTGTGTTTTGTTTAGTCATTTTCCTCACAAATGTTTGCAAAAAGTGAATAACCAAAAGCCAAAAAAGCAGAGGATCTAATCACAATGCTTTGGTTTTGTGAGGTGGGGCTTTGAGAGAGAGGATGGAGTGTAGCAGTGGTCCAATAGGAGATCTCACAAAGGTTAATTAGGAAATAGTTCATCCAATTTGCCCCTTGCCAAACCAACAGGGAGATTACAAGTCCTGTGCCCCGAGCAAGAACTAAACCCTGCACTTCAGAGCCTGCAGCAATGCTTATCATGCAACATTTTTTACAATTAGGCCCATTGTTTGTATAAATCTGTCTGCTACAATACACTGCACAAAGGCCTGTACTTTTATCACAGCTGTTGGTGCACTGTATACCGTATCTTTTGGTCTATAAGTCCCTGCGGAGTATAAGTCGCACCAGACAAAAAATGAAGAAGAAAAAACATAAGCCACACTTTTTGTTTTTTTATCTTGTATCTTGAAAAGCAAGTTCTAGTAAAAACAATAGAAGAGAGAACAACATGTTGTTACCGTCACATATGAACAGTTCTTCAGATAAACTATAACATAAACAGCAGAACAGAACAAGTTTACCAAACTCTCCATCTCACTCCAAATCATTAAATCCGTTAAATTCTTCATCCTCGGGGTCACTTCTGAGCAACTTCACGACCTCCAGAGGTAAACAGAGCGCCGCTTCCTCTTCTGTGTCGCTGTCGTCAGACTCAGCATCAGTTCCAGTTAGAATTACTCCGGCCTTTCTGAATCCCGACAGGATGGTTTCAGTGTCACTGAAGTCCAGGCTTTGTCCATCCATCCAGTGACTTCCAGTAAAGTTTCATGGTGCACCCTTCTGTTCTCACAAGTTTCTCACTCACTCCAAACTGTTTTCAGCTGAATATTTCGCTACTTGCAGTTTGTAATCTGCCAAAATATGATTTTATTTTTTGGTGGCATTTGTCTTCAGTCTTCTCAGTCGTCTTTATACGTTTGTTTAAATGTTAAATGTTCAGTGGTGCGATCGACTGACATGATAACAGACAGGACAGAGGCTCTTTCTGCAGGAGACATGCGCAGTAGAGCCAATGACAGTGGTACAGGAGGAACAGGAGCAGCAGATACTGACACACAAGACTAGAGCCTCTCACGACTGTCAGTGTGAAAATTTTAATATATAAGTCTCACCGGAGTATAAGTCACAGGAAACACCCAAACCATGAAAAAGAAGTGTGACTTATAGTCCGAAAAATACGGTATATAAACTCCCTCTAACTATTTATATTGGTTTCAGTACACACTTACACTTATGTTTACAAATATATTTTTAGTCAAATTTTTGGCTCTCTATTGTACTTGTACTTATATTTGAGTAATAGAACATGTATATATACTGTGACTCGTTATGTGAGCTTAAAGGTGTGTCATAATGCTGTTACCTCCTCAAAAACATACTTAAAGGTGTGTTTTCATTCGCACTTGTTGGAGTAATCCTGGTTTATTATTAGTCTGTCTACATTTCCAAAGCTCAAAATGCTCTGCTCCACCTTGTGATGTCATGTAGTGGTAGTTTTCAAGTCAACAGCAGGGAGATTGTCAGTTCCAGGGCTGAAATCGTCTGAATGTTTCTAGTGAAGGTGTGTGGAGTTTAAAAACACAGTGGAGCACTTTCTGTTTTAGTTTGAGAGAAGAACTCAGTCTAAACATGCAGGTTTGTGTGTTAAACGTGTGTGAATGAAACAAAACACAACTCCAGGTCTGTTTGTGATGCGGAAACAACATTATAACACATCAGAAAATATCGTAATACAGGATTTTTAAGTAACAGTACTCTTACTTCAGTACACTTTTGACTACTCTACGTATCTCTGTGTAGGAGTATTTTTTCATTATTTCTTAAACTACTACATATCAGGTTTTAACCAGTAAATGTGGCTAAAATCAACAAGACAAAATGTGTTTTTTTAATTTACAAATCAAAGTTTCTGCTGCTGTTGTATTTTGCTCAATTGAAAATCCAACAAAGTAGCAAAGGATTGATAAAGTACTGCATTTTCATTTTAATTGCAAGTTGTTTTGGCAGACTAGACTACTACCAGGAACACGCTTACTTGATCTCCTTTTTTCTTTTTGTTTTTCCAAATTCCAAAGACAAAAAAAAGCAAGCGAGGATTGTATGTAATGTCACTTCCTGTTTCCTTCTCCCTCTCGTCACTGCCGTTAAGTGGAGTAAAGTGAAGGCCTATTCTGAAGGTTTTTCACAGTCTCACAAAAAACACTTGCTGGTTTTTGACTGCTTTTCAGCCTAACCTTGTATTTTATTTTTGCCTTTTTGTTGTTTTTTGGTGAGAGACGCGCCATTAACTCTGCTCGTCACTTCCATTTTCATTTTCCTTGATTGAATACGGAATGCTTTTTGTTCATTGCCCCGATTACCGCTGGAAATTGCTCGAGGATTTGTTTGTGTTTTTAAAGTGCAGATTCATACGTTCTGTTAGCCGCTTTCGGTGACGCATTAGAACGCGTTTGTTTACTGACTTGTTTCTGTAATCATTTCTTTTTGTGTGTGTGTCCAGAGGCAGCTGAGGAAGAGGAAGTGCTACCTGATCGTCATCGGAGCCGTGGTCTTGGCCATTCTCATTATTATTATCTCAGTTTCAGTGAGGAAGTAACGATCTGGTGAGTAACTTGTGTTTTATTTACTTAAAGGTTCAATGTTACGCCCAATTGACCTAAGTTATAATGTGGTTGCCTCATCGAAAACAGACCTGGAGTTGTGTTTTGTTTCATTCACACCTTTGAGTAACAATTTATTATTAGTCCGTCCACATCCCGAAAGCTGAAAACGCTCTGTCCCACCTTGTGATGTCATGAAGCGGTAGTTTACAAGTTATCAGCTACAGCATTTTTTACATGCTGTTGTTTAGCTGGATTGGCAGGTCCAGGGCTGAAATTATCCAAACTAGTTTCCATTTTTAAGCCAAAGTGTTCATTTTGTCTTCTTATATACTTTAACTTCTTGGGTTCTTTTTAAAGACAATGCAGTAAAGTGTGTTTACCTTGTTGACATGTTTCATCTGCTGCGAGCCATCTTCAGAAATGTCACGGTGTTGGTGGTGACGTGTCGTATATCAGCTGTTGTTACTTCCTGTAGGCGTGGTCAGACCTGATGGACCTGCAGGTCGCTCAGACTGACCACGCCTCCCGTCGCCCGGTGTCTCTGGAGGAGGGTGTCCCAGGTGTGTGAAAGGAGGAACGCTCCGTCATCACGGTTAATGTTGTCTCGTTTCCTGATTTCACCGTCCTCCTTGATCCAGCGTTTGAACTTGTTGTTTTTCGATCCGATGACCCGAGCCCCGTCCCGATCCATAACGTGGTTGTTCCATTTACACTGTCTGATATGGCGGATTTTAGGTTTTCCTGTTCTGCTTTATCTTTTTGTGTTCTGGTGAGTCTCCCTGATGTTTCCTTTTCGCATTCCTTTTGGTGTTCCTTTTTTCGAATGTGGAATGTCCGGCCTGTTTCCCCTATGTATGATTTATTGCATGATTTACATTGAATTTTGTATATGGCGTTGCATTTTTGTTCTTGTGAGATTTTATCTTTGGGGTGTACATTCGAAAAAAGGAACACCAAAAGGAATGCGAAAAGGAAACATCAGGGAGACTCACCAGAACACAAAAAGATAAAGCAGAACAGGAAAACCTAAAATCTGCCATATCAGACACTGTAAAAGGAACAACCACATTATCACATTATGGACTGGGGATCTGGGGCTCGGGTCATTGGATCGGAAAACAACAAGTTCAAACGCTGGATCAAGGAGGCCATTGAAATCAGGAAACGAGGCACGGACAGCATTAACCGTGATGACGGCGCGTTCCTCCTTTCACACACCTGGGACACCCTCCTCCAGAGACACCGGGCGACGGGAGGCGTGGTCAGTCTGAGCGACCTGCCAGGTCCATCAGGCTGACCACGCCTACAGGAAGTAACAACAGCTGATATACGACACGTCACCACCAACACCGGTGACAGTTCTGAAGATGCAGCAGCCGAAACATGTCAACAAGGTAAACACACTTTACTGCATTGTCTTTAAAAAGAACCCAAGAAGTTAAAGTATATAAGAAGACAAAATGAACATCTTTGGCTTAAAAATGGAAACTAGTTTGGATAATTTCAGCCCTGGACCTGCCAATCTCAGCTAAACAACAGCATGTAAAAAATGCAGTAGCTGATAACTTGTAAACTACCGCTTCATGACATCACAAGGTGGGACAGAGCGTTTTCAGCTTTCGGGATGTGGACGGACTAATAATAAATTGTTACTCAAAGGTGTGAATGAAACAAAACACACTCCACTCCAGGTCTGTTTTCGATGAGGCAACCACATTATAACTTAGGTCAATTCGTAACACTGAACCTTTAAGTAAATAAAACACAAGTTACTCACCAGATCGTTACTTCCTCACTGAAACTGAGATAATAATAATGAGAATGGCCAAGACCACGGCTCCGATGACGATCAGGTAGCACTTCCTCTTCCTCAGCTGCCTCTGGACACACACACACACACAAAAAAAAGAAATGATTACAGAAACAAGTCAGTAAACAAACGCGTTCTAATGCGTCACCGAAAGCGGCTAACAGAACGTATGAATCTGCACTTTAAAAACACAAACAAATCCTCGAGCAATTTCCAGCGGTAATCGGGGCAATGAACAAAAAGCATTCCGTATTCAATCAAGGAAAATGAAAATGGAAGTGACGAGCAGAGTTAATGGCGCGTCTCTCACCAAAAAACAACAAAAAGGCAAAAATAAAATACAAGGTTAGGCTGAAAAGCAGTCAAAAACCAGCAAGTGTTTTTTGTGAGACTGTGAAAAACCTTCAGAATAGGCCTTCACTTTACTCCACTTAACGGCAGTGACGAGAGGGAGAAGGAAACAGGAAGTGACATTACATACAATCCTCGCTTGCTTTTTTTTTGTCTTTGGAATTTGGAAAAAACAAAAAGAAAAAAGGAGATCAAGTAAGTGTGTTCCTGGTAGTAGTCTAGTCTGCCAAAACAACTTGCAATTAAAATGAAAATGCAGTACTTTATCAATCCTTTGCTACTTTGTTGGATTTTCAATTGAGCAAAATACAACAGCAGCAGAAACTTTGATTTGTAAATTAAAAAAACACATTTTGTCTTGTTGATTTTAGCCACATTTACTGGTTAAAACCCGGTATGAAATAGTATGAGAAATACTGAAAAAATACTCCTACTCAGAGATGTGTAGAGTAGTCAAAAAAGTGTACTCAAGTAAGAGTACTGTTACTTAAAAATCCTGTATTACGATATTTTCTGAGCTGTTATAATGTTTCCACATCACAAACAGACCTGGAGTTGAGTTTTGTTTCATTCACACACGTTTAACACACAAACCTGCATGTTTATACTGAGTTCTTAAAACAGAAAGTGCTCCACTGTGTTTTTAAACTCCACACACCTTCACTAGAAACATTCAGACGATTTCAGCCCTGGAACTGACAATCTCCCTGCTGTTGACTTGAAAACTACCACTACATGACATCACAAGGTGGAGCAGGCATTTTGAGCTTTGGAAATGTAGACAGACTAATAATAAACCAGGATTACTCCAACAAGTGCGAATGAAAACACACCTTTAAGTATGTTTTTGAGGAGAGGTAACAGCATTATGACACACCTTTAAGCTCACATAACGAGTCACAGTATATATACATGTTCTATTACTCAAATATAAGTACAAGTACAATAGAGAGCCAAAAAATTTGACTAAAAATATATTTGTAAACATAAGTGTAAGTGTGTACTGAAACCAATATAAATAGTTAGAGGGAGTTATATACCGTATTTTTTCGGACTATAAGTCACACTTCTTTTTCATGGTTTGGGTGTTTCCTGTGACTTATACTCCGGTGAGACTTATATATTAAAATTTTCACACTGACAGTCGTGAGAGGCTCTAGTCTCTTGTGTGTCAGTATCTGCTGCTCCTGTTCCTCCTGTACCACTGTCACTTGGCTCTACTGCGCATGTCTCCTGCAGAAAGAGCCTCTGTCCTGTCTGTATCATGTCAGTCGATCGCACCTTTCCTTCTGCACCACTGAACATTTAACATTTAAACAAACGTATAAAGACGACTGAGAAGACTGAAGACAAATGCCACCAAAAAGAAAATCATATTTTGCAGATTACAAACTGCAAGTAGCGAAATATTCAGCTGAAAACAGTTTGGAGTGAGTGAGAAACTTGTGAGAACAGAAGGGTGCACCATGAAACTTTACTGGAAGTCACTGGATGGATGGACAAAGCCTGGACTTCAGTGACACTGAAACCATCCTGTCTGGATTCAGAAAAGCCGGAGTAATTCTAACTGGAACTGATGCTGAGTCTGACGACAGCGACACAGAAGAGGAAGCGGCGCTCTGTTTACCTCTGGAGGTCGTGAAGTTGCTCAGAAGTGACACGGAGGATGAAGAATTTAATGGATTTAATGATTTGGAGTGAGATGGAGAGTTTGGTAAACTTGTTCTGTTCTGCTGTTTATGTTATAGTTTATCTGAAGAACTGTTCATATGTGACGGTAACAACATGTTGTTCTCTCTTCTATTGTTTTTAATAGAACTTGCTTTTCAAGATACAAGATAAAAAAACAAAAAGTGTGGCTTATGTTTTTTCTTCTTCATTTTTTTGTCTGGTGCGACTTATACTCCGCAGCGACTTATAGACCAAAAGATACGGTATATACAGTGCACCAACAGCTGTGATAAAAGTACAGGCCTTTGTGCAGTGTATTGTAGCAGACAGATTTATACAAACAATGGGCCTAATTGTAAAAAATGTTGCATGATAAGCATTGCTGCAGGCTCTAAAGTGCAGGGTTTAGTTCTTGCTCGGGGCACAGGACTTGTAATCTCCCTGTTGGTTTGGCAAGGGGCAAATTGGATGAACTATTTCCTAATTAACCTTTGTGAGATCTCCTATTGGACCACTGCTACACTCCATCCTCTCTCTCAAAGCCCCACCTCACAAAACCAAAGCATTGTGATTAGATCCTTTGCTTTTGTGGCTTTTGGTTATTCACTTTTTGCAAACATTTGTGAGGAAAATGACTAAACAAAACACAAGTAAACTGGACTGTATCAGAGTGACTCTATTTTGGTCCATGTAGTTCAGTAAAATGAGTAATACAAGTAGCTCTTAGGGTCAAAATGTCAAAAATGGTGTGTGCTGTTAGCATGCTAGTTGTTGTAAGGGGTGTGGCTTGAGGACAAAACTCTCCTGTGGTATAAAGTTGTAAAAATTGCTCATAAACCCATTGTGGTGAATAATTAGAAAAGTGAGGAACAAGCTTGAACAGTTGCAAACAGTTTTTCTTATTTATCTATTTATTTTATTTTTTATTTTTTATTTTTTTTATTTTATCTAATTATTTATTTTATCTATTTATCTATTTATGTATTTTATCTATGTATTAATTTATCAATTTATTTATCTATTTATTTATGTATTATTATTATTATTATTATTATTATTATTTTATTATTATTATTATTATTATTATTATTATTATTATTATTATTATTATTATTATTATTATTATTATTATTATTATTATTATTATTATTATTATTATTATTATTATTATTATTATTATTATTTGTATTATTTGTATTATTTGTATTATTATTATTTATTTTCATTTTAGGACAATTTTAGGTATTTTCTGATCATTGTTATAGAGTTATTTCCTCATCACAAACAAACCTGGAGTTGTGTTTTGTTTCATTCACACATTTTTAACACACAAACCTGCATATTTTTGGAGTTTTTCCTCTCAAACAGAAGACACTCTGTTCTATCTTTTGATGTCATGTGATAATTTTTAAACTCTGTACACCTTCACTAGAATCATTTGGATAATTTCAGCCCCGGAATTGTCGATCTCTGCTGAACTAATGACTTGAAAACTAACGCTTCATGACATTAAAAGGTGGAACAGAGCATTTGGAGCTTTGGAGATGTAGACAGACTAATAGGGCTGAATGATTTCGAGAAAAAAATGAATTGTGACGTTTCTGGCAGATATTGCAATTTCGATTTCATACATGATCTTTTTTTTTTTTTTTTTTTCAAATCAAGTTTCAGCGCACATGGACATTTGCAAACATCACAGAAACTGACATCACACAAGAGTCCTGCACTGATGATTTTGCCGCTGAACGTTACAAATAAAAAAAACACAAAATTTTTACACAAATAAAGGGCTTCGGCATGCAAACAGATGGTCACAGTGCAATTTAAAAATAAGGTCACATGTTCACAGTGATGCATGATGGGACATGTAGGCCTAACAAACCTTAATTATAGGTAAGACATAAATGGTGCAAATCCCAACAACCAATACATAGATAGATACATTATATGAAAATAGTATAAAAGTATAAAAGATACATAGTGTAAGGATATATATAGAGTGCGATAACTCAAAAGTGCTTCAGCTATAGTTTGTATAATATAGTTAAGGGCTAGTCTTAAATAATTTCAAGAAGACAGGGATATAAAACAAGGATCGATTACACATTTAAAGCTTGTAGTTTTAAAGGAAGGGGGAGAAATCTAACTCTCCATTGAGTCCTGGAAACTGTGTGGCCTTGAGAGTGTAGATCCAGTAGGTTTCTCTCTGTAATAGTTTTTTCAGTCTATCTCCTCCTCTTATTGTTTCTTTAATATGTTCAATTGCACAGACTTTTAGGCTTTTACAGCTGCCATGGTTGGCTTCTTTGTAATGCACGGCCATAGGATACAGGGGGTTATATGTCCTTATAGCCTGTTTGTGCTCAGCCAGTCTGTTTTTCAATTTGCGTTTTGTTCGGCCTACGTAAAAACGACCACATGGGCATTCAAGTCTGTATACTACATAGGTAGTGTTACAATTAATTAATGTTCTAATATAAAAACTTTGACCTGAGTTAATGTCCATGAATAAGTTTCGTCTGTTGTTGTAACTTTTTGAGTGCCTCATTTTTTTTCCCCACTTTGTATTTGAGACTGGTCCCTACACTGAAGAGCACCAAAAGGACATTTCTTCACATTTTTTGCATATCCAAGTAGCACTCCTGCCTCCAAAGCCTTTAAGAACATTTTACTTTATTTGAGTTGATTCAACTTGACAAGTAAAATTATTTATTAGTGGAATAAATGTGTTTTTCTTAATTCAAGCAACATTCAATTTTGTTTCTTACTTTAAGTGCAAAAAGTTGTTTTTCTTATTTTTAGTGCAGCAAACATGAATTTTCATATTTTAAGTACAAAAAGTCTTATTTCACTGACAGATCATTTCACTGGTCAAGTAAAATTTACTCAAATCATGATAAAACGTTCTTAATTCAAGTCATCTCAACTTGGCTAGATTTAGTTTTGTTGCAGTGAACTCTACATACATTTCCTGCACTCCTTCCTTTCAGTATAGACTGAGTAATAATGTGTTTAATGCAGCTTTGTGCACATTTGTTTACGTTTTAC